TAGTGAAAGGACATGAAGGTCGATGGCATTGCGCACTAGGAGCTCTTGTTTGCAAACGAAGATGTTTGTGTATGGGGGGGGAGGTCTTTTACATGAGCTGCATGTTGTTGAATGGGTGGAAGGGATCGCAGGGAGTAGATAAGACACAGATCATTCTTAACGCAGTAAAACGTTTTCCAACTTGATCTGTCTGCTGATTCGCGCTGGGAATGGAAAGGGTGCCCAGCGTTATAAAGAGTTCGGATGGTGGCATGATGTATCTGGTGATGGAAACGTGATGACATTTGGTGAGCAGGATGTCGCGGGCCCAATATATAGTACTCTCCCTCATTACGTACGAAGCAGCAAATTATGCTGAATTCAACCCGTTGCTATACCGTATGACGAGATGCTCTATCGGCGCCTTCCCTGCACCCCGCTGTCGTTTTCGGCGGGTCTAGCAAGACTTAGCGCCAGACTCGCTGCCCCTCGTTCTCCGAAACTCTGCCCCACATTCAGCACTTTCTCTCCATTACGACACCAACAACCACGTGTTACGAGAACAACAACAAAAATGCCTGGAAACTACGAGCTGCTGTGCCTTGAGAACCCGCTTCTGGACATCCAGGGCGTTGGGTAAGTTAATTTCTCTCATTGGCGGCTTTGTGCTGCCATAGATGGCACTGGTCGTGGCAGAGCACCGCAAGGAAGCTTTCGCTGACAACTCGCAGTGACAAAGCCCTCCTTGAGAAGTATGGCTTAAAGGACAATGACGCCATCCTCGCAGACCCAGAGAAGCACATGGGTCTGTACGAGGACTTGCTCCAAAACTACAACGCCGTCCTCATTGCTGGCGGTGCCGCCCAGAACACCGCCAGGGGTGCTGCGTACATGCTCGAGCCCAAGTCGGTTGTCTACATTGGCTGCATTGGCAAGGACAAGTACGGTGAGACTCTTGAGAAGATCTCGGCCGATGCTGGTGTCAAGACCGAGTACCTCTACGACGAGAAGACGCCCACCGGCCGCTGCGGTGTTGTCATCACTGGCCACAACCGCTCCATGTGCACCGACCTCGCTGCTGCCAACAACTACAAGATCGAGCATCTGAAGCAGGACCACATCTGGAAGCAGGTCGAGAACGCCAAGGTTTACTACGTGGGTGGCTTCCACCTGACTGTCTGCGTGCCAGCCATCAAGGCGCTCGCTGAGGAGGCTGCCTCCAAGGACAAGGTACGCATTTCCTTCCACTCTGTCTGACAATAGGCCCGAATACTGACCGTCGCCCAGCAATTCATCCTCAACCTTTCCGCGCCCTTCATTTCGCAATTCTTCAAGGACCCTCTCGACGAGGTTCTCCCGTACGTCGACTACCTCATTGGTAACGAGACCGAGGCCGCTGCCTTTGCCGAGTCCCACGGCATCGAGACCAAGGACGTCAAGGAGATTGCAAAGAAGATTGCCAACATGCCCAAGCAGAACAACAAGAGGCCACGAACTGTCATCTTCACTCAGGGCACCGAACCTACCATTGCCGTCACCGCCAAGGAGGGCGGTGAGCCAGAGGTCAAGGAGGTCTCGGTCCACGCTGTCAGCAGCGACAAGATCAACGACACCAACGGTGCCGGTGATGCCTTCGCCGGTGGTTTCGTCGCTGGTATCGTCCAGGGCAAGCCTCTCGACAAGGCCATTGACATGGGTCAGTGGCTCGCGAAGCTCAGCATCCAGGAGCTCGGTCCTTCGTACCCGCAGCCCAAGCAGACTTACAGCAGCTAAGCGTCTTTCACATCAAGTGAGCGCTGAAGCTCGTGTATTTCAACAATCTACGAGAGAGCATGCCACCGCCACGAGGGGTCGTGCTTTGCTTCGTGTCCAGGCCACCGTATGATGTGGCCCGTCTGGACACTAGGTGTCATTATTGCATCATGAAAAGGTGTTTTTTTGGCGCAAGGACAAGGAAAAAGTAGAATTTGGCCTTTCAACAGCCAGAGCTAGATACCCTCAGCTATTACGCTGCTAGAATGAGAAAATGAAAGAAATAAGTCAATGAAAGAATGATGCAGGCTCTAATACGTGCTGTGGTTCCTGATTCGTATTGGTTGGTATTTGTGTCACATCATGGAGATGAGAGCGATGTAATGTGTTCTAGCCATCAGAGAAATGTTTCTCTGACGCAGTCATGAATACCATATCGTCCTATTCTTATACAACAGAAACCCAAAAAGCTCATCCATGATCTATAGATAAGATATGCTTCACCCAATATTCCCACGCTAACTCATTACAAGGATTTTTTCAATAAAAAATTAAACCCCCCCTCCCCCTCCCCCAAAACGCCACACCATGCACTCTCTCATTCTTGCCTCTCAGAATATGAAGCCTCCCTACTCGTCATCCCCAGCCTCGCCATCTTGTTCTTCTTCCTCGTCCTCAAGATCCGTGCGCTCAACAATGAGATTCCCACTCCGTCCGATACGCTGCTTAATCGAGCCGCCAGTCTTGACATTGTAGACTTCTCTCGGCATGGGAGAGACGAGCTGAAATTGGTACTCGTGCTCAAAGTCCTTTGGCTCCTCGACTTTCTCTTCTAGCCCGCTTTCGGCAGACTGCTGCAGGATGTCGTAACACTCGACGAACGCGTAGAGTTCCTCTATCTGCGCATCTGCAGCGAACTTACGGACGACGCGCTGCGCGTCTGGCATGCGTAGGCTGATCCTGACTACGTCCTTGACTTCCGCACTAGGCTCAGGTGGGATGGAAGCAGCGCGCCACTTGCGCCATTGAGCGAGCTTCTGAGCGTAGCGTTCGATGGCTTGTTGGCGCTCCCGGGCTTCCTTTTCTTCCTGAGCTTTGCGCTCGGCTTCTTCCTTCTTCTTGCGGGCTTTTTCGCGGTCCGCGGCGAGCGAGCGCTCATACGCGCTGTTCTGCTGCTCGCGGATGTTGCGTGTGGCTTGTTGTTCTGCGCGCTGGCTGCGGACACGGTTCAGCGGCTCGGTGTGCTGCTGCATTGCCGTGCGCAGTTTGGCAATGTATTGCTGGGGTGGCGTGGGGCCCGTGACGCGCGTTGCAATGCCCATTGCTGTCGAGGAGACCTGCGGGGTATGCACGATGAGTCCTGTGAAGGGAAACTTTGTACACGACAGCGCGGACGAGACTTGGTATGCTTCTGAGTCTTGGACATTGCCGGCCCAGAGGATTATGTTGTTATCGGGGTTTCGTACGAATTCGACGACTTCGGGGGCGAGGAGCGTGTCGCGGATGAAGGAGGATGTCTCGTCGTGCTCGGGGCTGACGAGTACAACCATGAGGAATTGGAGGTTCTTCTTCGCCAGATCGAAGGCCTGGGCGTAGCCGCTCTCAAAGAATGGCAGGTTGTGGCTGCCATATTCCTCCTCGAATTCGCGGATGAAGCGCGCGGCCGTGTCTCGTGGGTTCAAGGGCCGCCGGCCGCTTGCGCTACGTTGCGAGGCCGGTGTGTTGATGTTGCTGGCTGTAACCCGTCCCCATGCGCGGGGTAAGAATGGGAATATCCAGCCTAGTAACCGGAAGCTCTTTGCGAATAGAGAGTATACGAGCGAAAAGGGTGCGAAGAAGATTGCTAGGACCAAGGGCACTTGGGTGCTGACTTGGCTTTCTGGCTGCGGAACTACCCGAGGCGCGGGCTCTATCCGTACTCTCCTCCCACTACTTATTGAAGATCGGGGCGCCCCGAATCCATTTAACAGTGTTTCTTGTCGCCGGGTGTCTTGTGGAGGGGGCGGCTGCTGTGCGGCTGCAGCTGCGACGGGGTCTTCGGTCGGTTCGCCGTCAAAGAAACGTGTTACAGCGATGTTAACGTTCCATTGCGCCCGCTGGAGAATGGGTATCGCAGCATCAACTGCTTGATCGGTTACAGCGGTGTATTGTTGTAGGGCAGCTTGTTGGTCTGGAGAGAGAGACTCGATGTCTACGCCATTATCCGCCATCTTGACCTCGGCGGTCTTCTAATCTGGTTCGAGGCTCCCTTTAGTTGTTGACGTAGTTCGTGGCCGAAGGGAATGATGGGATGAATGGGGAACTATGACCGGAAAGGACTGTGGTGTGGGAGTGTATAGTGGGAGGTGAACGTCGGTTTATGTGTTGCCTGTCCTTTCGCGGCGATGATGTACAATGAGGTGGTCGGAGCTTCAGCCCACGAACTACGGAACGTAAAGGTGAGGCTACTTCTCGGCCTTTGCCACGCGACGCACTAGCTGCCTGTGGGGTAAATTCACCTGGGTAAGGTCTCCGTTTCTTCACAATGTCAAGTCTGAAGTTTGGGTAGGGTTTGTAAAAGGAAAAAGGTCTACTTCTTCGCCTTTTATCGAGGGGTTGTGCGTATGGTTCTTATAGGTTGTCAATTGCGTATACCTCAACTCGTTGTGACTGCCTGTGGACGCTCCCGAAGTGTGGGAACCGAAGAGTGAATCCATGATGGAGAGATTCTGAGATATGAATGTTAAACGCACAATGTGAACCCCGTCATTGGTTTCTGGGAACGTCCTCGTTTGAGATCATGCATGCTCTAATGCGACAACTACCGCTACTGCAAGTACATACCTGCACGGCAATAAACATCGCGTCTACAATGCTAAAAGTCTTCTTTCGGCGATAGGATAGTCACGCCTATGCTTCAATTCAAATTCATTTCATCTGAAAGCTTATCGAATGCCGCGTTGATAATCAACATGATGATTCCCAACCGTTGTGACAGCCATGAAGCAGCCACAGCTACACAACATTCCACTAGGAAACATGTCGAGGACAAATTTTATGCACGACATCAGAAAACTGAAACGCTTCACTTTCCTACACCGTATCTGAGGCGAATGTTCCTCCGCTTGGGCTGACTTGTGTTCCGCTGGTCGCCCAATAGTAAAGTGTTACGGAAATGCGTACGTGCCCCTCAATGGTGAGGAGTGCCCCACTTCTCCAGTTCTGGGACGAGAGACCGATCATCAAATACTAAAAGATACAAAAAACACGTTTCTTCATCAATCAACCATTGCCTCCTTGGCCAAGTGGTAAGGCGTCGCACTTGTAATGCGAAGAGCGCTCGTTCGATTCGGGCAGGTGGCAAACTTCAAACCATTCGGTACATTCTTTTTTTTGCCTGGAAAAATCTCGTCATCGAGATTCCTTAACGTAACTTTTTTGCCCCTTTTTAGATCCCCAAGGATCGCCATTACACACCTTCATGTGGGCTTGGAGAGTATTCGCTTCTATTGCCAGAGCTCATTTGCTCCACCACTGCGCAATAGTAACACCTAACGGAATCCAATACCACAAACAGCACACAGTCAGGACACTCACCATATTATTTAGACTGTTATGCTTCTTCTGTCATCAAGCAATGGTGTGCAACATGTGCTGTCGGCTCGCTCTATCATGCAGGTGCAATGGAGTGACACAGCCTTCGAAGCCAAGAGCCCACTCACATATAAACTGGACTCCCAGTCTCGCAGCTTCAGATAGCAGTTCTTTTCTACCCGTGCCTCGTTATCATCTCACTCGAACAATAAAACCTCAATGCCAAAGCCTTTTCTCTCGACGCCGGTCCTCACTAAGTCAGCACAGTGGTTGTAGTCAAGGGTCCATCCCAAACTACATGGCATCAACCTTTGTGCAAAGAAACTAGTAAAAAACAACGCATCTTCCCATCGTATGGATACAGAATGTCGGACATCTACCGCCCACTTGTGGGGGATGAGGTCCGCTCTGTCAAGATCCAAGCTGGCGACTGGACTAATCATATTCGATGCGATCTGGTTTACCTGCCATTGCCACCCAAGAAGCCATAACTGGAAGAGCTGTCATCTTCATTAAAGTCACCCTTATCTAAGGAAACTTCTAGCCCCTCAACGCCACCCATGCCAGCTGTTGCGACGCCACTCTACGTCGGACTGTCGTACGCTTGGGGCGGTCCAAACGCTACGTGTGAGATCATTCTCGATGGGGAGCCTGTACGGAAGACGATAAACTTCATCGCAGCCTTGCGGCAGTTGCGAGGCCTGCTCTAGATCACAATAGTGCCAAGGAGTATTTACGCACTAAAGAGCAGTTTGCGTGGCGACATTGGCTCAGTAGAGTATAGGTGACTCAAGAGGTTGTCGTTGCCCAGGAAGCTCTCTTCTTGGCTGGGGCACGTTGGTGCTCACTACACAACCTGTCTAACTTTTCACTTTGTCTTTTCCAATCTCCTGAGATCAAAGATAGATCAAAGATATCACCTTGCACTCGTCCACTTGCGTCTTTGGGGGTATTGAGAGGATCCATAGCGATGGACACGGATAGTGGGGGTCGATCTTGGAACAGAAAAAGAAGCATCTGAATGGCTCAGGACTCGCATACATGCCCGGTGTCTCGAGGAGATTCTCTACTACCTTTCAGAAAGACAAGTTCAAGCTACCACTTCACGAGATCATCTCTATGGTATTCTGTCGTTAAGTGCGAGCACATGGTTCCTGACTTCAGATAGTCTATCTGGCCATGTCGAAGACCGGACTCACGCCCAGTGCTGGCACCGTTATCGAATACCCAGATCGTCGAACACGGCCAAGTTTGCGTTGCACAAGGTGTTTATCTAGGCCAAACAATGGTCACTTCTAGTTTGGGCTTGTTCATTACCGGCCCATTGCGAGACTTCAAGATCGTGTCTGAAGTAGATGAGTTCATCTCGATCTCGGAAGTCTGCTCTTCCAAGGAATGGGACAAAGAGCTCATTCTATCGGGGGCTCTTGAGGCTTGTTTTAACAAACACATGCCTTTGGCTGTTAGTCAAGGATTTTATGATGCACTCTTGTCTGAAAGGCTAGCGGCGGGCTTGGATAGCAACGTACAGGAAGACGCAGAGCTTTCCTCAAATCGTATGGAAAGATTGAGTCACCGTGGATTGACCCTCACGTCTAGATGTATGATGATAAAATTGGAAAGGTGGAACGAGAGGTTAAAACAAGGAGACGTGGTTGGAATGATGGTGGGTATGAGTGGACTATCTGTAATCCGACCTACCAGCGCATCTCATCAAGAGTACACTTTCGTTGGACCTTGTGGTGTACTTTGCGGAAGATCGCAATTCGGTACACCAGAAGCGTGCTTCGCGCAGAACGACCTTCAAGAGTTTCGTTTGGTATGAATCACGAGTCAAAGGAGATTCATATTAATACAAATGATCACCCTGCGTGCGAGATTTCTCTACCCCAACTAGCAGCAATCTTCGACTTGAGTTCCAGGCAGCGCAGTCCACTAGCCAAAGCAGACTCGACAGTTTTTCAGTATGTTCCGACAGATAAATTACGGAGGTCCGACACATGGATTCAGGCGGTTCCGTACTCAAAGATCGTCGCATTTACTCTTGTCTCGTACACACGTCTCAGAAAAGAGATAAAGCGTGTGCATCCAGCTCGAAATCTGCAGATGGAACAGCAGATTGAGCGAGGCAAGAGACTATTCCCTACTACTACCACCTACTACAGGCTTTTTTTTTTTTGCACCAAGGGCTTCTCTTTTCGTTCATGATTTGATGAACGCTGCAATAGAGTAAATAGCACGTGTACAAAATGAATACACAAACACCCGATTGGAATGGCGATGGTGCGACGAAGCAAGAGCCCTGGAGATTGGTTGACAGAAGGACGGGAGAAGGCGCGCCCAGCTCGCTTCGAAAGGTTTTCTCTACGATTATGTCATCGAGCGCGCCATGCTTCTTAGAGTACTAGCGCGCGTAGGCTTCCCTTGCCATTCCATCCCAACTTCCGCCATTTCACGCGGCACATTCAGCCTACCTGCCAATCGTACACCTACGCGAGAGAGACGTGCTTACAATTTTTCTCCGTGCAGCTTCTACGGATAGTCGTGATTGGGTTGCGACACGGCTTGCATATGTTCGGCAAGCTCGATATGACGCTAGCTTTGAGTGACATGCCGCGTCTATCCAAGCCGCGTGTATAATCAAATGACATGGGAAAACTGCTAATTATTCTCTTTTCCTTCTTCGTCTACCTCTCGTGTTTCTGACTGTCTATCGCGAACCCCTATCATTTCTTCGAGCATGGCGGCTCACACTCAAGACAAGGCCGTGGAGCATCCAGCCTCGCCTCCACCAATTCTTCAAGGTCCAAAGTCGGGTGCAACCTCAGTCTCGCAAGAGAAAGACGTCGCGATTGGCCTGGTGGGAGAGCAAGCTCGGGATATCGATCCAGAGGTTGAAGCCAGAGTTTTGAGGAAAATCGACTGGTTTTTGATTCCCGCCATGATCGTCGGTATGCCTACCCGAGCCTCGCCCGCCATCGTGCCCTCTTGATTGACACACCCAGGATACGGACTGGTATACTACGACAAAGCCATCCTCGGCTCTGCCGTTCTTTTCGGCATGACCACCGACCTCTCACTCAGCATAACAGACACTAGCACCACGCCGCCGACAACCGACACATCCCGTCTCTCATGGGCAACCTCGCTCTTCTACTTCGGGATGCTAGCAGGACTCTACCCCATGACTTTCGCTTTGCAGCGATTCAACCTCGGCCGCATACTAGGCGGCGTAGTCATGCTCTGGGCCCTAATCTGCATGTTAACCGCAGCCGTGACAACGTACCAAGGCCTCTACGCCCAACGCTTCTTCCTCGGTTTCGTAGAAAGTATCATACCAACCGGCTTCATGACCATCGTTTCCAGCTACTACACGCAGCAGGAACAAGCCATACGACAGAGCTGGTGGTTCAGCTCAACCGGCCTCTTCACCATCATCGGGGGTGCACTCAACTATGGATTCGCGCAAATCACATCAGGGGAGTTAAGGCGCTGGCAGTACATATACCTCCTCGCGGGTTGTTTGACCTTCCTTTTCGGTATATGGTGTCTCGCCATTCCTAATTCCTGTGCCACAGCCTGGTTCTTGTCGCCTGCGGAGCGCATGGTAGCCGTTGAGCGCCTCCGCAAAGGCGCGACTGGCGTGCGCTGCCAGAAGATTAAACCCGCGCAACTCAAAGAAGCAGCACTGGACATCAAACTGTGGCTTGTATTCATCCTGATGGCTTCCGCCTACACAGTCAACGGCGCGGTATCTGGTTTTGGTCCGCTAATCGTAAGCACATTCGGCTGGTCAACGCTCGAATCCATACTCTGGCAATTCCCCCTCGGCGGCCTGTGCCTCATTACCATCCTACTATGCGGCTACCTCAGCTCGCGCATCCCGAATATCCGCCTCGTGCTGCTGGTGGTCAATTGCCTCCCCGTCATTGCTGGTTGCGCGATGATATGGAAGGCCGAGTGGACGTACCATGCCGCCACGCCTGTAGCGGGATATTCCATTATTGGTACGTTTGGCGCGGTTGTCAGTCAGACTATTGTCGTTGGCATGTCGAATGTTGCTGGGGCGACTAAGAAGAGCGCCATGGCTGCTGCCATCTTTGTGGCGTATTGTGTGGGTAATATTGTGGGCCCGCAGTTGATTGAGAGTCAAGAGAAAGGGGCGCATTACCCGCAGTTGTGGACGGGGTTGATTATATGGTAAGTGACAGTGTGCCTCAAACATGGCGATAGCTTTTGTATTGGGACTACAATGCTAATTAGATTACAATGCGTAGTTATTGCATCACCATCACTGCAGCTGTAGTTCTATACTTTGTCCTTCTCCGCGAGAATAGGAAGAGAGATGCCATTCCTATCGACCCAGCAGAGCGTGATAAACTGGCCTTCATGGACTTGACGGATAAGGAGAACCCATACTTTAGATATGTTTTGTAGTGGTGATCTGGGCAAGCGGGAGATAACGGGGTTACTCAAACTCCAATCATGTTTGACAAGCAGTAGCAAATACGTAAACCTAACTCTGAGCTTGGCAAAGACTTTCGTGACGCTTATCAGTGTGACAGACAAGATGGACATAGAAATGTGTGTATGCATTCTGATAGCGACTTCATCATCTGCAGCTACTCATCAATCAAGCGGAGAGGGAAGAGTAAAGGGAAAGAAACGCCGACTTGCCGATAACGCTCATATACGCAAGCTAACAGCAATCTAGCCCCCATACGGCAGCAACAACGCCAGTGACAGCAAACGACACACCCTTGTCATTC